TGGTCTTTTCGAAGGCCTCGCCATGGGGCTCACATCGTCACCCAAACAGTAGGAGTACATCTCGAAAGCCTCGCCATTGGTCTCACATCGACACGGTCTATCATTAGGATTTAGGGAGACTGCCTCTCGTTTTTCCCATATTACATCAATGGGGATAACCGTTCGACGACCGGTACAGCTCACATTGAAGATGACATGGTTCACATGCATACATTGATCACACCATCCAAACAAATATAAGTCGCTTACGACATAGATATTTAAATAAACCCACCTGGACACTAAGCGGGACAAGAGCATAATTTGTTGTGTAGGGTGAGAGCTCAGCTCGTCAGACACCTACATAATATCAAGATAGTCCTCTCAACATACTATCCTGATACTTAGAATAATAGACGAACATTCAAACTTAGTCGAACATCATCGACAAAGCAGTTCGTGGAATTTGTGAAGGTTGGAACACTTGGATTTGACAACTAGACTTTGAGAAACCATTTAAAAACATCAAAATAGACTCAGTATGCAAGACGAGGTCAAACGGCTTAAAGACGGACCATTGGAAACATAAAAATCAAGTTGCCGAAAAAAAAGGGTAACTCTATATGTGCAACAATTTTATTTTGAATATAACTTTTAGTAGAGAACTCGAATCCAAGTGATTATTTTTCCAACACAATCTAGAAACACGAAACTCAAACTTTCATGAAGATATCGAGAACATTCGAGCAAGTTAAAGGGCTGAAAACATATCAAACTTACACAATTAACCGGCTATCAATTTTCAAAAAAATTGGTTGCACGACGTTAGTATTTTGAATGTATCTTTTTGTACAAAAATGTTATTTGAATGAATCTTACGCCATTTGAACCCTAAGGATTAAAAGTACAAATCATATGAAGACATAAAGATTACTAGATCACCAGGAATACACCAAAAATAGCAAACAAAACATACTATATGCATTACTGGTATTACAGAAAAATTGGACGCACCATCGCTAAACTTTGGCCACAACTTTCAGAATAGAAATGGTAATCACATGATTCTTGCTCGAGATAAAACATAATAGATTGAAATTTAATTCATCAGAAGAGTTCAAAAAAATTTGGTCGAGTTTCGAAGGTCAAATACAACGACGAACATCAAACAGTACGAAGGTTCCAAAT